TTTTTTTTTTTTTTTTTTTTTTTTTTTTTTTTTTTTTTTTTTTTCCCCCCCCCCCCCCCCCCCCCCCCTTATTTCCCCACAGCTTCAAAAAAAGGTTTATTTTACTACTTTACTTTTTTGGGTTAACATACCATCAGAAATGTACATGGGCAGAAACCTCACATTGTAAAAAGTAGGTGTCCACTGAAGGTGCTGCGTCTCAGTGAATCTGTGTAGATACGACGGTTCTCTATGAGCTGAAGACATATCTGGTCCCCATGTTCAAGAATAAGACTTAACTGAGTTGCATGTAGTGTCTTCAGTGTCTTGCCCAGGAGGGTTATCTGATGCTGCGACCACAAAATTGTCATTCTTTAGCAGTTTACATTTACATTTACATTTAGTCATTTAGCAGACGCTTTTATCCAAAGCGACTTACAAATGAGGACAATAAAAGCAGTTAAAACTAACAAAAGAGCAACAATATATAAGTACAAATGACAAGTCTCGGTTAGCCTAACACAGTACACGTAGCAAGGTATATATATATATATACATATTATACACACACATATACACACACATATATACACACACACACACACACACACACATACACATACACACAAAGAAAAACAAGTAGATAGAATAGAAAATACAGAAAGCTAGTGTTTTTTTTGTTTTTTGTTTTTATAAAAAAAGATAAATAAAGTAGAATTAAAATAGAATAGAAAGTGCTAGAGTTAGAGGGTCAAATAAAGATGGAACAGATGTTTTTAGTCGTTTCTTGAAGATGGTTAAGGACTCAGATACTCGGATTGAGTTGGGCAGGTCATTACACCAGGAGGGAACAGTCAATGAAAAAGTCTGTGAAAGTGATTTTATGCCTCTTTGAGATGGCACAATAAGGGGCCGTTCACATATCGCGTCTTTTGCGCGCTCAAGTTCGTTATTTCAAATGTAGTCGCGCGGCAGGCGCGCTCATAATGGAAGCGACGCGCACGCGGTGCGACGCGCTCATTTTTTCCAGGCGCGACCGCGCCGCATCGAGATAAACACATTTCAACTTTTCAGAATGCCGCAAGCGCACCGCGGGTCATGTGACAAGAACCAACCAATCAGCTTCATCCTTTCCCGTAACAACATTGAAAGCTCAGCCAAGATGAAGGAACAGCTGATCATAGCTGTACAGGGATAGCCATTTTTTAAATAAATTTAGTAGTAGAGCTACTGCAAGCGATTTTTAGTGCTGCAAATCCATTTATCCTTTGCTGAAACTTCCGTGTCTTCATGGAGAGCGCAGGTCATGGTTGCTTAGCAACGGCAGACGCCTCCGGAGCGCAAGCGCCCGAACGCTTTGAGAAAAAGCAGAAAGCGGCGCGCCTAGCGTTTTCCACGCGTTTTTAGGCGCGACATGTGAATGGCCCCTAATGCGTCATTCACTTGCAGAATGCAAGCTTCTAGAGGACACATAACTCTGAAGTAATGAATTTATATAAAGGGGTGCAGAGCCAGTGGTGGTTTTGTAGGCAAACATTGGCAGGTTTGAAATGCATACGGGCCCACTCCTTTAGCTTCTCTAGGCCCTGTAAAATCCACCGACATCCTGGGACTGATTCTGTGGTGACTGTAAGATCATCCATAAAAGCCCTGATGGGTGGTTGTCGCTGGGCCGAATTTGTTGTGGGGCCTCTGCACTGTGGTTCAGCAGACTTGGTGAGCACATTCATGAATAGTGAGAACAGTATGACAGAAATAGTACATTCTGTAATGATCCCAATCTCAACCTTGTGCCAGCTTGATGTCGTTGCTCCTGAAGAGACCCTCATCCTGAAATTGCTGTAGTAATCATTGATGAGGTCTGTAATTCTGCTGGGGATATGGTACCTGGTTAGTGTATACTGCACCAGCTTATGAGGAATGGAACCATACGCATTTGCCCAGGTCTAGCCATAAGACCGATAAGTTGCCCTTATTCTCTCTGGCCTCCCTAATGAGCTGCGTCACTACGCCAGTGTGCTCCAAGCAGCCTGGAATACCTACAGCTCCACCCTTCTGTACTCACATATCGATATAGGTGTTCTCTGCCAAATAGGTGCATAACCGGTTGGAGACAGCACTGAAGAAGATCTTCGCTTCTACGCTCAGCAGGGAGATTATGCGGAACTGATCTATATGAGTTGAGTTTTCCTCCTTTGGGATCCAAACCCCTTCAGCCACTCGCCACTGCTCTGGGATTCTTCCCCTTCTCCAGAAAACTCGCAGAATCTTCCACAGACGAAACAGGAGTTTGGGGAATTAAACTATGCTAACTTCCATCTTCATCATTGCTTCTCTCTGTGATTATTATAGATTGTGATAACCTTCCTGTAGCCACACAAAAACCTAACAACATTTATTGAACAGTCTGACAGACTTTGGACAACAAATATTTAAACGTCCTTTCCTTAAACAAATAGTTACCATTTGTAATACCAGTTAATACAAGAGAATTACCATTCTCTTAGTCCTAAAGGCCACAACTTGTGTAATTGTTTGAACTGTCCAATAGACTTTGAACTGCAAAAACTACATTTTGAAGAAATATTTATTTTAGACAGTCACTATAAAATGGAGCATGGCAACTGTTTGTAATGAACCATTAAACAATACTGTACTTTTTTTTTTTAATTGTGTAAACATTATTTGCTCAGTTCTTCTTTCCATATTGTTCTGCTATAAATTTTATTGGATTAAAGTCTCTTTATTGATATTTTATTGATATTGCATGAAGAGCGTAATGATCAGTGACTCCAGAAAACAGTAAAAGAGCATTTTAATGGAATAATGTGACACACTATGCTAACTATTTTGGTAAAATGCTTTTATGGGTTACATCTGGCACATTGACACACGTGTTAAATATGTAACATTTAAAAAAAAATCTACCACAATGCTAAAAAAAAAAGTTTTTAGTGTACACTATAAGGTTTTTAATGTGAAAAAGAAAAATCATTCACCAATATCATATAGACCTATTTTGATTTCCAAAGGTTTTCGAGAAAGACCTTGTATAACTTAGCCATATACTTGCCTCATACTGTAGGTGCCGTAAATGTAGGTGAACTGAAGTTAGTTAGTATGTTATATATCAAATTCACGTAAAATGCATTATCAAATTCATTTACACATTCTTACAGACAGAAAAAAACAATAATGTGGACATTTTGTATAATTACACTCTTGATATACAAAGATGCTAATGAGTAAACCTAGTGCATTTTCTGTTCACATGGGGAAAAGCAGATGTCCACTAAAGGTGCTGTGATGGTGTTCATTGTCAAAAATCCAATATCCAGGATAGAGATTTACATAGATTTTATCTCCCTTTTCCAGCAACAAAGAAACTCCATTTGAAGAGCCGATAAAACCACCGTCTTGCCGTGCATATGTTGAAATTTCATGCTGGCCGTTTCTAAATAGGCCTGCGACAACTGCTTTATCTTGACTTCCGTAGGCCTTTGAGAAAACCCTGAATGCATACACTCCCTTCATGGGTGCTGTAAAGATTCCTGTATCAGACGGAAAAAAAAACTTAAATCATTCAAGATTTAAAATATTCACAGTAGGCTATATGAAGTGATTTATTGTACCTGTGTTTGCATCATAGGCATCTCCAGTATCGAGGAAGATGTGTTTGTAAATCAGGGTGTGTAAACTACTGTGTGGTCCATTAGAGGACGACAGAGAAACTGAGAAAGCCACTTTTGAAACTAAGACAAAAAATATGCAAATTAGATTACATCATTAGAAATTATTTCCTTTTTAAGGTTTACCTGCAACACAGAAAATAAATAACTGAAATTCTTTATAAACAGCACTACCTTAGGGTTTCAAAGATTAAATGAACATATAAAGATAAATATAAATCACAAAATTCAACATTTATATATATTTTTTTCAACATTTAAGCATTTCATGTTTGTGGCTATTAAAGTTATAGCAGGCTTTTTTATGGTAATGCTGTTTTAGATCAAGGCTC